GGCTATATTGGGCTGATTTCCTCCCTCATACTTTTACCACTACGTATTTAGACTATTGTGATGTATTGTTTTAAAACTGCATTAACTAACTTTCTGTATTTTACTATCAAAAAACTACAGCTAGTTTAGACTCGTGAAGTACTCAGATCTTGTACTTTGAGTAAAAGTAGAAGTACTCAGATCTTGTACTTGAGTAAAAGTAGAAGTACTCAGATCTTGTTCTTGAGTAAAAGTAGAAGTACTCAGATCTTGTACTTGAGTAAAAGTAGAAGTACTCAGATCTTGTTCTTGAGTAAAAGTAGAAGTACTCAGATCTTGTACTTGAGTAAAAGTAGAAGTACTCAGATCTTGTTCTTTAATAAAAGTACATGTAGTAAATATATGTATTGGAGTAAAAGTACACAATTTACCTAGAAGTAGGATACAATGGAAATACTCAAGTACCTCAGAATTGTATTTAAGTACAGTACTTGAGTAAACTTGTACTTAGTTACTTCTCATCTCTGGTCTGCATGAAATAGAGTCTTGAAAACACTGAGATGAGTTATGTTTAAATACAAAATGTGGTCACATTGGATTTATTAGCTGCTGAAGTTTGAATGTATGTCCGTTTTCTTTCATTTCATTTTGTCTATATGATGATTTCTGGAAACATAAGAAACTCTTTGTATCCGTCCAGGGCTCAGCAGCTGGTAAAAAGTACAAATTTGTCGTCACTGGTCACGGAAAATACGAGAAGATCCCCGTGGACGAGGATGGAGAAGAGTTTGCTGACGGAGAAGACGGTGAGACACAACATGTGAAAGCTTCTTTATATGAAGAATGATATCAATGCTCTGTGGGGCTCAATGTGTAAAGAAAAACTCACGCTCATCTCCTTAAAGACATCCCTTATTCTTTATTTTATAATTCTTTATATTATGTTGTATTTATATTTGTATTAATCTATCAAATAATCTTTCCATAACACCAAATATATTTTTTCTATATTTATAAAATAAAGACAATCTAGTATTTATTGGAATAAAAGCTGTTATATTTTGAATATGAATAAATAAAATTAAAAAAATAAATACATAAAATAAAATACATGTTTTTAAATGTATATATTTTTACAATTAATTTTCAAAATGTTTTATATGATATTTAATTATTTCAAAATTCATTATTTTCTGTTTACATGTTTTTTTATTTATTCTAATATTTTAGTTTTTGTTTTGGACAACTTTCATTTTTAGATTAATGGGGACTTTATTTTAAAATTTATTTTTATATTATTTTCTTTATTTATATATTGAGCAATTTATTTTTTAATCATATAGGCAGATTTTTGTTTTAATTATTGTATTTTATTCAACATATTTTTGTCCCCTGTAGTTCAATTAAACCTGTACATATTTACAATTTTTACATTTGAGAAATGTTGTCCACCATTTTATTTGTTTTTTTAATTAATTGTTGTTGGTTTATATAATTGTATCCACACCTAGGCAACTTCCTTCTAACATTCCCACAATGCAAAGTGCTGCATTTTATAGATGTTGAATCTGATTTGTGTAACAAAATTATCATTTTTAAATCCTCAATTTATTTAGCGTTATTTAGCATTTTGGGTAAGACAGTGTGTGATCGACCCAAACAAATGGAATCTTGTTTTTGAAGAGTTATGAATTATTCACGAGAACTTTTAACCAAAACACAATTTCAATGTTGAACTTGCATTATAAGAACAATGAGAGGAACAAACGAGAGGCTCTGATTTTACTGAAAACATAAACGCTTTAATCGAATTAAGACACACTTTTCTCTTTTTCCAGCTTTTCAACACAAAACATCCAGACAACCAGTCACACAAATGAAACACAAAGCACTTGTCAAGTATAAAGTCCAAAGCAGACTTTTCTATAACACAAACATCATTCGTTTTAAACACTGAGACTTCTGCACCTGTACATTGAACATATATCATAACTTCTTGTTCACCTTGGCACGTATATATTATATATATTGTATTAGCTTAAGTTGCGGCGAACCCCCTCGCTGTTCTGTTAAAGTCTTTTGGTTCCTCTTCTTGACCTTTCCGCCCAATCAGACCCATTTCAAAAACTGTCGAAATCTTCGTCGTCGGCCTTGACGCCGCCTCTTTCAACCTTTTAGCGTCAAACTTTGGACTGAAGAGCAGCAGGGGCAGCCGTTGGGCGAACGATGGTACCTCTTTCTGGTCGTCCGTCTCCTCTTGCGTCTTCTTGTCCTCGCTTTTGTTCAGCTCGATCTGGTGCATGATGTTCTCCTTACTGCTGAACATTTGGAAGAGACAGGCGTTCCACATTTTCGCCGCTACGGGAGCGTCTTTGGTTTCGTTCTCGTCTTGATTTTCGGGCTTGTCCCGGCCTTCTCTTCGGCCTTTTTCACCTCTTTCTGGTCCGTCCCAGCGGCCTCCTTTTTGGGGCCAACCTCTGGAAATGTGGGCTCTTCCTGCTCCACCACCATGTGCTTCTTGAGTCTGGACCAACCGCTCAGTTTGGATTTCACTCCCTTCGGCTTTTGCATGACTTTCAGAAGGGCCTCAGCGGGGAGGGATTCAACGCTTTCCCTTTTCTCCGGCGCAGATTTCACTGCAGCTGGTTCTTCTTTCTTATCTTTTCCTTTTTCTTCACTTCCTGTTGCAGTGCTGGGCTTTTGGCGTCCATCTTTAGTCTTGCTTTCAGCTACAGGCTCTTTCTTATACGCAACATCAGCTTTTGTCTCAGGTACAGGTTTCTGGACTTGATCTTTTCCTAATAGTTTCCGGACTGCCTTCAGAGGATCCTGGTCGTCACCTTTGGGCACAGGTTTGACTTCAGGAGGGTTCGTCTTTGGTTTGGCGACTCCTTGAACTGGTCTCTGAGACGTTTTCCCTTGTGTCGTTGGGGGTTTAGACTTTGGTGGTTCTTGGAACACCGTTTTCTCTTGTTTTGCAACCTGACTGGAAACCATGCTCGTCTCTTGTGCTATCGTTGTTACAAAGATGTCAGACGCCTGTGAAACGATAATGATGGGAATTGAAGGGGTGACGGCAACCTTCACCTCCCTCACCTGGGGTTTCTCGGCCTCTTTGGGAGTTTCTTTATCTTTAGACACCTCTGGCATAGCTTGTTCCTTCACAGGTGTTTCTTGAATTGGTGCATTACATTCTACTGGTTCCTCTTTTGGCGCGTTAACCTCCTCGTCAGCTTGCGTCTTGGAACCGGAGATACCAAAAGCTGGAGAGTAGGTTTTAATTCCTCCGTGAGCAGCATATTCAGCCGGTGTCAATCCACGGTAGCCAGACTTTGATTTTTTAGCAGTTTGAGTTGGGGTTTTAGGTCTCTGAAAGCCTACAGGTGACGGTGACATCCCGTACGTAGGTGTCCTTGGTCTTTTAAAACCAGGCGAAGTGGTCATGAGTCGGGATGCCTCGTATGTTGGAGTCTTAGGCCTCTGGTTGCTGTAAGAAGTCACTGCTGGTGTTTTGGGCTCAGTTGTTGGGGGTTTAGGTCTTTGAGAGCCAGCTGGAGCAGCTTCTCTTGACAGATCAGGCTCTGATTGTGTCATATTGATGCTCTGCTGGATTGGTTTTACCACTGGAGTCATGACCAAATGAATGTCCCCGTTTGGTATCATTTCAGCAGGCTTAGGCTCACTGATCTTCTCGCTTTGGGAAACAGACAAACTGATCTTCTCGCTTTGGGAAGTTGACAAACTGCTCATCGCAGAAAGTGTTTTGGGCGTTTTTGACCTCTCTGGCTCTACTGTGATTGGCGACACGGCGAACAAGAGAGGATTCGGCCTTGAGACTTCAAAGACCGGCGTTGCAGCCCGATTCTTGGTGTATGCCGGGGTTCGAGGCCGTCCTGTTGGTGTTTTAACTCTGATTTCAGAAGTTGGAGTTGCTCTTTTGATATCAGAAGTTGGAGTTGCTCTTTTGATATCAGAAGTTGGAGTTGCTCTTTTGATATCAGAAGTCGGGGTTGCTCTTATGATTTCAACCGTAGGTGTTCTTATAGTATTCATCTCCGTTGTTGGTGTGGTGCCCCTTTTAATTTCTGAAGTTGGTGTTTTCCTCTGGGGATCTGGGCCCAGTAAAGGAGGCAGAGCCGTCGGTGTTGTCCCTCTTCTGACCTCAGATACGGGAGTCAAATCTTGCATGGTTTCTGCCGGTGCTTTACTTTGAGGTGCTGTGCTGCCAATGACGGTTAAAGCAGCTGTGTCGTACACCGGTGTGGTCCTGGTTGACTCGTAGTAGGATGTGCTTGCCGTATACATCCTAATTTTGGGAACATCAAACATCGGTTTGGGCGATCTTGAACGGTCGGTCGCTTTGAATGTCGGACGTGGACTCCTGCATTTGGCCATCGGGATCAAAACAGTGAGAGGACGAATCAGAGATTGACCCCCCATTGCTTGATAAGGAGTTGGACTTTTTGCTTGTCGCGTCCCTCCAGTTGCGAAAGGTCTAAGACCGGCATTATTGTCAGCAAATGTGCTAAAAGCCGGCTTTCTTACTTCAGCAGCTGGTACTGTTGCCTCAGGTGTAAAGGAGGCTGGCAGTAAAGATGTTTTTGGCTCCGCAGGCTCAACGACTTGCCACGTAGCTGTTGAGACTTCAGACACGTTGGTGGACGCAGAATATGAAGAAACGGTGGTAGTATTCTGCGGGTAAGAGTGCAATGGGGACGCCACCATCTGAGGGGAGAATCTTCCCGGTCTCCCGTACGCCGCTCGATGTGGGTAAGGCGACGCCACATGTCGATAAAGCGGTCTGGCGGTGAACCTCGGAGGCTCCTGGACTCTGAAAAGACTGAACGGTGTCTCTGGAGTCTTGGGAGGCGTTGAGTGGTCACTGTGCTCGAGGTCAGGACTTGCTTCGTTCACGGGGGAAAGGTTGGAGCGGAAAAGCGTGGCGGGCTGCGATGCCTGAGCGGAGGCCTTCTTCTTGGCGGATCTCTTGAGGAGTTTCTGAAGCCGAACGTTGTCCTTTCCAGGTTTGGGAAGCAGGGGCGGAGGGTACTGCTGGTAAAGCAGGCCCGGGTTGGTGACAGCCCCGTAAGCGACAGCCATGAGCGCTTTGGCACCCTGAGGAGAAACAAAACAAAAAAGAGATATTGTCAGAAAAGACAAGAACAAAGTCATTGGATCTGGTTTAACAGAAAGTTAAACTCCCGAATGTTACGCACTCCCCCTTCCTCTCTCCTCTGCTCAGGTGTTCCTGATCTGAACTAATCAGGAGTATTTAGGAAGGCTGGGGGGAAAGAAGCTCTCTCTCTGACTCACTCACACTTAGCCATTGGTTCTATTTCCTGTTATTTCTTCGATTTTTAGTTTGGAGAACCTGGTAGCCAAGTTTTCGTGGTTTTCTTTTCTTAGTTAAGCCTATGCATTTATTTTAGCCCAGGCTGGCCCAGGATTCCTCCATGTTTTGTCCTTTTTGGCCAGTCCTCCAGACTTGTACCTTTTGTATAAGTTAGGTTCAAACATTTAAAATCAATAAACCATATTGTTTGTGTAAACTTTATCGGGTTTGCCTTTTTTACTACATGTTGGTCACAACTTGAGCCGTAACACTAAGACACATCCTTTAATAACCCACACAATGCCACAAATCTAAGTTAATGAAATTCTTAACGTGCTATTTTGTTAGTTAAACCTAAAAGTGTTACAACCTATAACTTTCTAAAATGACTTAAGGTAACCACACTGACATTTGGATCTGCATATTGAACATTTTCTTTTTGTGTCTTCTGCAGATTTATATCATGACGATTACTGAGGAGGTTTCCTGATCCAACAAAGACGTCGGCTGGACTTTAAAGTCATCATACATAAACATAAACTGACTCTCAGTTGGACAACTTCAAACCAAAAGTCCAAAAATCATCAAATGTCTATATTTTTATTATTTCCTCTTTGCTTTTGTATTTCCTGACACTCAGTGTTTGTATGATGTATATATCTGACTGTGAGCCTTCATGTTTCTGTCCCTCTCCACTGCAGCGTTTAGGTGAACCATTCCTAATGTGTGGTTGTCCTTGTGTGATGGTGTGTAGGAAAACTTTTGCAAAGTACATTTATTTGTATACGTACCACTTGGTTATTTTATCTGTTCAGCACTTAAACATTGGCTGAAGAACAATCTGAAGACTGCTCGCTGGAGACATACTTTGTCAAAAACTGGAAAAGCAGAGTTAATACTGATTACAAAAATTCTGAGAAAATGTATAACCATACCATACAATCAAATTTCATTTCCTGTTTGTGTTTTTATCAGACTTTTTACTCTGTCTTACTACAGACATTTCCCAACGTTTAATATGCATAAACTGAGGTGTCTGATTGTATGTGTTTGTAACCACTTTTCTGAAATAAATTAAAATCATTTTCTAATTTAGCTTTCTTTGTTTTATGTATTGTTAGACCATCGGATTACTAAACCATAATCATATCATTATATATCCTTGTACAGTACATCTAAAAATAGAAGTTATGTTTGTCTATGTTGGTCCTAAAAAACACCTCAGAAGCTGTCTGAATTTCCATTAAATAACTTTTGGAGATTCATGGTCCCCAGAGATGGGATAGGCTAACGGCCCGTCCACACAGCGGCGTGCGTTGAAGCTTGCCGGCGGGCGTGTCTGAAACTCGACCAACAACCAATCACATGAATATCCCGCCCCTCACACACAAGCAGCGGTTTGATTGGCTAGAGCTTGTACAGGCATATGATTCGATTGGCTGACGCTTCTGCCGAGGCTTCAAAAGTTCAACATTGCTCAACTTTTGAAGCGAGCCACACCAGCAAAGCTCCGCTTCGCTTCCCACAATGCAGTTCGGCGAAAAATGACGTCACCCCATTCAAAGTGAATGCTGTGTGGACGGGCCGTAAGGGGCGGGACATCTGTAAGCGGTTGACCAATCACATATTTGTTTACAAGGCACTCCAAAAACATAAAACTGAGGCTGCAGTCAAATAGTCCATTTAGCTTAGGAACCTTCCTAACGGAGTGAAATACCCGGAAGTCCCTCAGTGGCAGCCATGATAAGTGCCGTTCGAATTCTCTACATGATAGGAAAGGAGGTTTCAAACTTCCTTTATAACCTCCTTTAGCTTAGGAACCACTGGACCTCCCTTACCGAAAGGAGAGGAGAAAATGCTGCCCCACAATGCATTGCAGCCGCAGCATTTGACGTCACACAAGTCGGCCGTTCACGGAAACAACCGATTATGACCAAGAAATGATATCATGAAAGTTACGGTGCTTATTAAGCATTTTAAAACGTATGTGGTAAGTTGCCAAAGTGCTTTGTTTTGAACGTTCATCAGTATTATAATCAAAAAGAGAAATATGAACGTTAGTTTTTACTGAAATGATCAAATAAAGTCAACATTTCACTGAGCTGTGTGGGGTTTGTTCAACTTTTAAAAGATGTTTGAATGATATACACAGTGATAGATGTTAAGGACTAACGTTTATAATAAATACATTTGTATTGATTTTAAGATATTTTCATACAATCATACGTATTCGGATCATTTGTATTAATGTGGACCGGAGGGAGAGGGTGACGAGCATAAATTTCACCTTTCTTTTTTATTTCAATTCTAACTTTGGTCATGAAGAATATGTTTCTCTGTTGTCCATGTTCATAAAACATAAAACAACAGCATCAGAGCACGGTGCAGAGTCTCTAGATGAGTCCCTCCTTCTTATTAAACATCCATGTTGTAGTCCGCCGTATAGAAAACTGTAGTTTCCATAGTTTCCCCACAGCAGCAGACGCACATTCAGGACGTCCGCTGGCGCATCATAAACACGTCAGATAGTGAAAGTGCAGTCGGATTCTCTAAAGTACCGCAGTCTCTTCTCCTAAGTCCTTTTGAATTCTCCTATCCACTATCCCTTAACCCCGTGACCTTTCACTCAGAGGTCAAGGAATAGGAGATAGGGTTAGAATTTAGGAGCTGATTTTTGGATTATCGGACTGCAGCCTGAGACTGTCATTTAGAAAAATGCATATCTAAATTAATGTTATTATAGATAATACATGTATGGAAGACGATTACGGCCAAATGTGATATATTTTTCGGATTACTTATTTTTACATCTGGACTTTTTTCTCAGAATTCCCCCCATAAAATTCACTTTTGGTCAGATAAAAAAAAAACTATTCACATGTGTTCCTCATCCTCTACGGTATAAATGTTTCCATTGGAGTTTGACAGAAAGAACACATGTTCTGTGCCTGCAAAGGAGCGTGTAATCCTCCGACAAAGGTTAAAACAAACATCACTAATTTGGGTTTTAAGAGGTTTTCATGCACGTTAAAAACATGTGTCTTAAAGTCAACACAGATGCACTCGTCCTGGATGACTCATCACGTTTATGAAAGCCAGCGAACAGCAGGAGAATCTCCTGAACCCTTCCTGGATGATGTTACGCCTCACAGCTGATCCTGGGAGCTTTTTACCCGGCACTAAATTTAGTTTGGTGGCCGGCCAATCACCTGCTTCGCTTTTTTAAGACTCCAGCCCTTTTTTTACAGGCTGCATCACTTTCCCCGAAACACAATAAATCAGGGCGCTGTGATGCAGATCAGGTGGAGCTGCTCCATGTAACAGGAGCACTGTGTAGTGTACACTAACTGAGGTCATATTTCAGCATCAACTGCGTTATGTGTGCACCTATCAGCTGATCAACATCCCGAGGATCAATATGCATGGTGATGCTTTCATGTTTGGCTCTAAGTGCAACAACACTAGAGGTTTAATTAGGATACATGCCTGTTGGTAATATAACGAAGATTTATGGCTTAAATTTGAGTGAAAATGTCAAAGAAATCTTAAAGAAATGTCAATTTGTGATCTTAAAATCATGCAACTCAATTTAAAAGATCACTTAAATAATGCAACAGACGGAACAACATACTGAGGATTCAGCTATTCTTACAGCCTTAAATGTAGTGGAGCACAAAATGAAATTAAAAATGGTCATGAGGTAATCAAAAATCAAAATGGTTCATCCTCTGGGGAGCTGGGACAGGATTAGAACGTTTCAAAGCAAACTGTTGTTTTCTGTTAACGGTGTTAAAGTAAAAACACTGATATAGATTTTGTGTATCTGCTGAAAGTGAATGCAGAACATGTGACCTCATGACATCACAGCCCGACGACATCTGATAGGGCGTCAGAAATATGTTGTCACTGAGAATAACCAATCACACGAGAGGACAGGAATTTAAAATAAAAGCATGGAGACATTTAGTGGAACTGTTTCATACATTTCTAATCCTAAAAATAACTCAGTGAGATTAATATTACGTTTCTGATCATAGCTGACCGAGCAGTCCGTACAAAAACAACTGTCTCATCTCAGCAGTTATGAAACAGCATCACATCTTTTTAGATTAGCTTTTTATTAGCAACCCCCCACTTTAAATCTTCTTTTAGTCTTACCTACTTTTATATTGTTTTATTTATTTAATAGTTCTTAAAGGGTTTTATCTTATATTATTTATTTAAAAGCAGTTTCAATAGCGTTGGTTTCTTTTTACGTTGGTTTTTAAATATTTTAATCGTTTAACCTTCTATAGAATTATGACATTTGTATTTCTAATATCTTTATCTTTGTATTTCTGTTGTACCGATATGTTCCCTTTGTGTTATGGGGTTTTATGTTGTTGCATCGACTCAGTCGTCTTGTGTCTTATCTGTCGGAGAGAAATAAGTATTTATTTCATTTTGATTATCACACCTTTTAGCTCCTTGTGTCTCCTAACCTGTTCAAATGTTAACTGTTGCTGCATGTACCTTTAAAGGTTTCAACATGTGATCTGAGGGGAATTTCTTTTTGTTTATTTTTAACTTGTGACGTGTGCAAAATGTAAAGCACTTTGAGCTGCACGGGCTGTATGAGAAGTGCTACATAAGAAAAGCTTTATTATTATTATTTCATTCTCGGTTTATCATGAGTGACACCTCAGTGGTGGTAGTTTTTTCAAGCTGCCCCCCCACCCTTATTCCCACCTCCCTCTCTGAACCGACACATGAGAACCCGTTCCTCCTTTTAAGGCTGTGGGTAGGCTTGGTATTTGGAGCGCCTTCAGGAAGTTCAAAAGAGGAAAGGGTAATAATAGCCGTGTAATAAAAAACCAAGCCGCTCCACAATGCCCTCCTTTAAGTAAATGAATCCACCCCAAAAAGAAGTCATTAGGCGAAGTTACGAGGCTTCACACACACACACACACACACACACACACACACACACACACACACACACACACACACACACACACACACACACACACACACACACACACACACACACACACATAGTTTAAAAGGAAAAAGAAGGAACATACCAAGTAAAGACTTCTTGCTGGTGGTTCAAAGCGCTCCAGGCAGGTTCCCCTTGACAGAAGAGAACATTGATTCAATATCACACCTCACTGTATTACCCAGAATCACACAGCAGGAACACCTCAAAGCTAACATGTGCTCATCATCCAGTCATGCCTTATTGCAGATAAATGGCACAGTGTGTTGTAGAAACAGTGCAAAGCTAACACTTAGCTCAGCTCTGATGGTGCAAGAAACACCGATTCATCCAATCACACGTCAGATTTCTGGCTGGAGATGTCTTGCATTCGACACCAGCTTCCCTGCTCTCTACCTGCAGATTAAAACGGTGTAATTTTGGGGTGTTTACCTGTGCTACTGCTGCTCGGGGGGCGGCCGGCCGGCTGCTGCCTGCTTTTCCCAGCCGGAGTGTCAGAGGTTCATGTTGAGCCCAGCCCGACCCCCCCGTCCTACAAATGGAAGGAACAGACGCCATGGCAGTCCAAAAATAAAACCCTGCGAGCCGCTCAGAGTGACAGCAGAGAAAGAGGCAGCACGGACAGGCCACGGGACCTTAGGTTTCACCACATCAGGGCTCTAAAAGTGGGGTCCGTGGGCCATCCAGGGGTCCCTCAAGGATGTAGTGATCCTCCAGAGATCTCAGAAGAAACGAACCAACAAAACAACACAGTTGTTTAATTTCATGTCCCTTAGAAATATTTCAGTGATTCTTGATTTAAAAGCTTTAGAAAGAGAAAGGTTGTAGGTGTGAGTTCTTTGGTGGTTCAGAGGGTCCCAATTGTGGTTAGAGGTCCAATTATATTTCAGTGGGTTCTAGGGGTGATGTGAGGGTCTAATGCAATTGGATTTTAGGCAGTCTCCAGTCCTATTATATGTTCTAGGATTGCTTTATTGTAAAGTCTTAAAAAAGGGTTCTTAGGGCACTTTCACGACCTCATAGTCATTTGGGTTGGTCCCAAATCAAAGGGTCCAATGAGATTTCAGTAGGTTCTAGGTTTTCTTGGGGGTGATGTGAGGGTCTAATGCAATGGGATTTTAAGAGGTCTCCAGTCCTATGCTTTCTATTTTATTTGTAGGATCTCTACATTTGAAAAGTCCTCCAGAGGTTCTTAGGCCACAGGACCTTAGGTTTCACCACCCCAGGGCTAAGTGGGGTCCGTGGGCCATCCAGGGGTCCTTCAAGGATGTACTAGAGATCCTCGAGAAGTCTCAGAGAACACAGTTGTTTAACTTCATGTTCAGTAGAAATGATTAAAGACTTCTTGATTGGTTTATTGATTTAAAAGCTGTAGGTACAGGTTGGTGGTTGGTGGTTCAGAGGGTCAAGGGGTCCAATGATATTTCAGTAGGTTTTCTTGGGGGTGGTGTGAGGGTCTAATGCAATGGGATTTTAGGATGTCTCCAGTCAGGGAGGCTGGCCAACATGAGGCCCCACGCAAAGGTAAGTGATGAGGCCCTCTGTTTCGCGAGCGTCAAGGGAGGGGGGGGCGGGTGCCACACTAGTTGTACCGCATAAGCGCATACGTGTGCCGCATATTCGGCTCAGGTGAGGCCCCCTCCGCAAGGTGAGGCCCCATGCAGTCTGCATGATCGGCCTGTAGGGAGGGACGGCCCTGTCTCCAGTCCTATTTATATGTTTAGGATCTCTACATCTCTAAAAGTCCTCCAGAGGTTCTTTAGCCACAGGTTTCACCACCTCAAGGCTCTAAATCCAGGGCCATCCAGGGGTCCTTCAAGGATGTACTAGTGATTAGTCTCAGAGAACACAGTTATTTAATTTCATGTTCCTTGGAAGTAATTCAGTGATTCTTGATTGGTTTGGTGATTAATGAGCTGTTAGGCACAGGTGCTCAAACAACAATAAGAAGTGCAAGAGGAAATGTGGAAATAGTGCAGGAGAAGTTAATTATATGCAAGTCAACTAGAATGAGATGAGCTAAAGATGTAATGTAGAGCTAAATGCTGTTCAGTGAAATAAAGAACTGCTTATTGTAATAATAGATGAATATGTGAGATGCAAACAGATGAGTGTTATGAAGGTGGGTTTTAGGTGTTTGGTGGTTCAGAGGGTCACGATTGTGGTTAGGGGTCCAATTATGTTTTAGCTTTTAATGGGGGCCATGCGAGGGTCCAATTCATTGGGATTTCAGGAGTTCTCGAGTCCTATTTGAGGCTTGCTGAAAGGAAAAGTCCTAAAAAGGGTTCTTAGGGCACTTTCACAACCCCAAAGAGTCAGTTTGTTTACTCCCAAATCAAAGTGAATTTGAAAGCTTTGGTTTGTTTTCTATTGAGTCTTTAGTCAGTAAATGTTCTCGCAGAAGTCTTTGTTATTGTTCCGAAATCCACGGTAGAAACAATAAACCTAGCTTAAACATCCCATAGGTTCTTTAGGAGGTTCAAAGGTTCATTAAGGTCGTTTCAGTGATACTCCCGAATGTGTTTACTTACTAGAAACTAACCCTATTTGAACTCAGGCTTTGACAAACAGGGGTCCAGAATCCAGGAACTGTTTGTCCCGATCCCAATGTCCCCCGTTGACCCGCAACACCTGAATCTGATCGACCTGATCACCCGGTAAGATCTTTATTGCGACTGCAAGCGCTGGAAATGGTATAAATAGAAATGCAGCAACACAAAATATCACATCACGTTGACAACATCAAAACCATTCAGCACATACCTTTGTGTCTGGGAAGCTTTTATTCTGTGTTTTTTCTTTTCTCCACACAGTTATGGGTTCAATTGTTTGATTTCAACCTCTTTTTTCAGGTTATTGCCTTAAAAAGTGAGGTATTTGACTAATTGGTTCATTTCTGTTAACACAGCATCGTAAACGGTTATGGTCCCGCCTCCTGTGTTCGTTTACCGTTTCGTTGTATTACCGCTTATGGGTGTCTCCTGGTGAAACCATATTTAATATCCAAACGCTATGGGTCAAAGTCTGTTAGTTCGGAGATTGGAAGAGGACTTTTGTAAAATGTTGTGAGGGTTTTCAGCGGTTTTTCGAAGGTGTTCAAGGTGCGTATCTCATTCCAGATGTCTGAAGACTTTTATGGGATTTTCATGTTGTGGGTTAAGAAATCCTTGAGAGAGGGGAACCTTAAAGGTGTTAATGAGACCCTTGACTAAACAACTTCATTCGAATGTTGTTCGGATTAAAGCTACAGGGTTCATGGACTATTTGAACAAATACAAATTGGTAAGAAGCTGGATCTCGTGTCAGGTCTTTGACTGGATCGGCCTAAAGCTTCTGATGAAGTGAGGATGGTTTAAGTACTCCCACTCCCACAGTGTATGCTTCTTAGTTGAGTAAAAACATAAAGGGATGTATTATTCTCACTTACATACCTGAACCCTTATGTTAGTAAGAACCAGTGCTTACCATCCAGATGAAACAAGTACAAGTGCAGTGAATCAAAACAAATGAGAAATTCAAAATAAAAAAAGAGGTGTTGCTCGAATTTTACGAGTATTAATGGGGACCATTTTCCTTCAAACCTATCAGTTTTTATCTGTAGTCTCGCTGTGATTTTCTCCATTAAATAAACATGTTTCACCCTGTTTCTCTGATGGACTATGCCGGGGGGCTTCAGCTACGACACCGTTACCATTTCTTTGTAATTAGAAGAATAATTTCTCAGTAAGAAAAATACATTTCTGTCCGTCATATCACTGGGCAGTAAACCCAGTATATAAAGAGCTGGGTCCAAAGGGAAGGTAATGCTCAGCAGCTACATTACCTTTTCTAAATATTTTAGTTTTAAACCTTGCTTACATGCAGCCTCCTGTCCCCTCTCTCTTTCCCAACCTGTGGTGAACTAGTTTCTAATTAGGGGGGGGTTATTTAAGACAATGTGCACCATGTTAGTATTTGCTTTTCTATTCAAATGCTCCAGTGCACTTTGGACCAAATCTCTCTCTCCTGATTAAGTATTTGAGGAGGTTTAAGGATCTTTTATGTCATTAAAAAGATTGAAATGTGGTGCTTATATATATATCCTTTATTTAACCAGGTAAACGTCTCATTGAGATTCAAATCTATTTTCCAAGTGTGACCTGGCCAAGAGGGCAGCATGAACAAAGTTACAACAAATGAACACAAAACCATACAGGCAGACGAATACAGCTGTAAAACACGAATGAAATGTTAACCAGTCAATATGCAAATAAAATAAACCATTATAAAACATTACAAACTGGCACAATTTTAAAACAACTTTGATTATGGGATATACGAGCAATCACATCGACCAATGGTTTCTTATCCTCTGTCCTTTAAGATGGACTTGAATCCCCCATAGTGATCAAATCGCTGCCTCTGCAGTTTGTCAGAGTATATTTTAATTGACCATACAGTGTTTAAATGTTTTGTGTAATCCCAGCAGCTGGAGCGCAGACCTGTCGGTTCAACAGGAGGTCTTTGGCCTGAGCTTTGTCTATTTGTGTTTCTGTGACATGACAACATGACGCCTCCTCCTGAGGGGCCATGTTTGTTATTCTGTCGTTGCAGCGCCATCTGCAGGAAACCAGAGGATGGTTCAGGGTCCCGGAGAGATTCAGACCTCGATCACAGCTTCTGCTTATAAAAGAAGCCGAGGGTCCGCTGAATGATTCCTGCTGTGGCTTGTTTGGACTTTGGAAGAGTAATTAGTAACAGATCCAGCTGATCCTGAAACAAATCCTGCACTTGAATAACTCTTTCCATCAGATATAATAGACTCTTATTGCACTATTTTCACTATTTTACTTCTCTTTTTGTATTTACTTTGTTTTTCTGTGTCATTGTGTTGCACTGTTGGAGGAGACTGTGACCTCAGATTGTCATCGTCATAACTACACTGTAGATATGAACGTACGCCAATAAAAGCCTTGAACCTTGAGATAATTAAATAAAGTTCAGTGTCATCCAATTTGTAAAAAAACTAAAACATAAATCTTCAGTAGGGAATTTTAACGGACAAAAAAATACAAACACTTGCAACAGAATTGCATAGTAAATAACTAAAGGGCACAAATATGTTTATATTTAACCTGTTAAGCCCGAGAGACCCGGTACCGGGGCCCTCCCGCAACATCTTGCAGGAAACAGTGTCTGAGGGCATCTTAACATTTAATAAACTATGAATGTTTTATATCCATGTAACGGGAAGAAACTCATCTAACTGATAATTTTTATTTATTTTTCAACAAAAAAAAACACAATGCTAACGCTGAGCCTCTGAGTTAGCAACGAGCGAAAAATACTAACAGATTACTGCACCGAAACTCACTCATAAAACCTTATTATTTATCCTTTCTGCACATCCAACACATCGATTTGCATCGTGAGAAGACACAGATCGATGGGTACATACATTATCACTATATGATTAGAACTCGCGACTTTATAAACAAAAACAGACATCAAAACATGTGGCGCTAGGTAGCTCAAAAAACGCTAACATTGCTTATCTGTGTCGTTGTCTGGTCAAAAGTGGTCTTCAATGGCATTAAAACG